ATTTTCAAAGACCATGCGTGAGTTTTATGTATGTGCACAACCCCTATATGGTTGTTGGCAGTGAGGTCTGTAGGTAGGAATTCCTGTGATTCAGCTCCCTGAGGAGTGTCTTCCTCATTTCCCTGTAAACACAACCCCTTTTCCTGCTGACAAAGTCATCAACCCCCCCAGGGTGCTGTGCTACAGGATATAGATAGAAAACCAAGGCAGGCCACGGCCCATAGCCCAGCACTGGGTGCAGGAGAGTGAGAAAGTGAACGAGGGAAGAAAGTCAGAGAATGGATTGATGTGTTTGCATCCGATTGTAGCAATACAGTAAAGTCCTGCACCTCTTTCTATCTCTCCTTTTCTCCTCCATCTTTCAGCCTCCACCACTTTTGTCCCCTTCAGCTCTTTCACTGCTTCTCTCCCACTCTTCCACCTCTCCACCTTCCTTCCTCCCTTTCACTTTAGTCTCTTTGCTGTGACTGACTACTGTGTCTTTTGTGACTCTACTGTGAATTTTTTTTTTTTTTACTTTACGACTCAGTGGGGAGCTATCACTTGTCAGTGTGCTGCAATACTGCAGACGGCACGCCTTTCCACACAAGCCAGATTGATTTCTATGTGCATCGGGGAAATACAAGCCTAATCCTTTGGAAAGCAGCTATTTAAATTTCAGGACTTTTTGGTGTGTTGGGGCTATACACGCCGATGCCCCCGCATACAGGGATTACTGGGGTAGAGTGGGAGACAGATAAAAACAGGAAAAAATAAAGACATCAGTATTTCTGCATAAAAAGTCAAGTAAACAAATCTCAGCAAGTGAGGTACACTTTTCCCCAATTAAAGTAGTAAAAAAAAGTGGACTTACAACCAATAAAACTTTGAATTTGACTAGATCTTTGCCTCATGCTCCCCCCCCCCATCTTGCCGACAATATGTACTCAGATTGGGCATAAAAGTTATAAAACAATCTTGAAATATATCTGAGGCAATCAACACTGCTTAAATCATTAAGTTGTAACCTTGCTCCACAAAGACTCACTTGTACATTGTCATGCTGCTGGTGGTTCCCACAGAGACATGGCACTTTGAATCCTGACTCGTTTGCCCTGCACTCCTGGGACAACGTTGCCGTGGGACACCTTACTCTGCCTGAGTCCTCTGGAAGGGAGGAGGTAAGACCATTTCTATCTGCTCATCACTTTTCAGACACATTCTCAATCATGTGTTTGAGTAAGCACGTGTGGGCGCTCAACGCAGTGTGTGCGTGAGACCTCAGTGTGTGACAGGACAAGGTCAGCCAACGCTATAAATCCTGGCTAAGATCAAACTGACGTTTTGTTACGACACAACTTGTGCGTGTGTTGCTGAGTATGTGTTTGTAGATGTGTATGTGTCTGAGTTGACTCAGCATGGTCTCAGCAGCTGAGACTCAAGCTCCCTTCCTGCGGCTGTAAGGTGAGCAGGCACACAGCACCTCTTGTCAGTGCTGAGTCTCTTCAGCACTGCTCTGTCATCGCTACCACTCCAATAAAAAAAAAAGATGGCTGAGAGCTATTAGCAAGAGTTTGGCACAACTTGAAATGCTTTAGCACCCCCTAGTACTGTTTTGCCTAAACTAGCATCAAAAACAGTCCAAACAATTTTGAGTCAAAAAATAAAAGAACATTTATTTCCTGGGTTAAACAAGAGCACTTTTAAACACTTCATTTGTACTCCAACTACAAATGAAGTTCCAAATTTCAATTTAGGATTGTATACATTTGATGGCGAGTGTAGCTTTATAAACTTTTAGGCTGTATTGGTATATTTTCAGGGTCCACATTCGTAACCTAAAACACCACAGACTCCTCATTAATTTAATACAGCACCAATAATCTGATTTTGACCATAAGGGTACTAATTAGTAATCCTTTGAGTCCATCAACCCTTTAAATTGTAGAATTCATACTGCTAGAGTAGTTTAAACAGACCCTGTGGTTTAATGAGCTCTTGTGTGACTAGTTGACCATACAAATGGATACTGGCATGTTTTGCTGGAGTGCATGTATTCCTGCAGTTGGTTATAGGATGCACATAGAAAAGTATTCTAACACTCTCTAGTGGTTATTAGTTGAACTACATATTAGTCAAAAAATCAAGTAATAAAAAGGTGGCATTCATTATAAAACTGGAGAGTCATGCTGATATCTTTATTTGTTTGACTATGACTATTTATTTTGGTAACATTATAAAAGCCTTAACTGATTCTACCCTCTCTCACCCCTCAATTACTCTCTGCTATCATAATATTTTAAATTGGTGAACTGAAATTTAAACAACTCGTAAACTAATGACAGTGAGGAGGGTGAATAGAATATAAATACTACAGACACAATTTCAAAATAATCACCTAATGGAAGCTAAGATTATGTGTCACGGCATCACGAATAATGCATTTACCTGTAGATGTACTCTCATTTTGACTGTCCACAGGTGGCATCACTGACTCATCTCTGTCTATCGCCCCCTTTCCTGGCTCAGTGTCTCTTCTAGGTACCTCTTTGACTTCTGCATAATCTGTCTCACACTGCCAGTTTCTTTGCTGGACATCAGAACAATGGGGCTGTTCAGTCTCCATCTCATCTTCAGTGCCTGTCTTTGTCCTGCTCTCTGTTTCCACTTCAAATCCAACCTCTATTACATCCACCCTTTCCTCTGTGGTTCTGCCCAGGATTAATTTGGAGGACTCGCACTGCACCAGTGCTCCCTCTGTGTGGTGCTTCTCTGCTCTTTCAGTCACAGTCTGACCCAAGACTGGAGGGGTTTCAGCTTGGCATGGGCTCACCTTGTGGTTTCCTCTTTCTAAAGATACTGAGATATTTTTCGGACTGCTGGTATGATATCCCACTGATATCTTTTTATTCTCAGAGCCAGATGGATGCTCAACATCTTTAACTTCAGGTGTCTTAAGCCTATACTGAGGCTTATTATCTTTTTTCTGCCCAGACTTTGCACCCTCAGAATAACAATGGAGGCTTTTGTCCCCATTACTTGCTGTAGATGCCAAGTCCAAATTCCTCGGCAAACTAGTAATCTCATTGGATTCCAGCAGTAGAAATCCCTCCATTTCACTAAGTGGTCCTGACTTATTTGGCAGGGTTTCATCCCTTTGTCCTGTGTCTTTGTACTTAACTCCATTTGCTCCACTGTGTATTTCATACTCTCTGTCTGACACTTGTCCTGCACCTGCCTTAGTCATATTTTCTGAATCCACTATCAGCTCCACCTCTTCCTCCTCATCTAGATGTCTCATCCACTTAGGTGAATGTGCATCACAGCTTGTCTCCTGTCTTGTTGCAAAACCACTGGGAGGTAAATGTATCTTTCCGGTTCTGATTGTTTCAGACTCTGATTGCTGATATAATATGCCCTCATCTTCTCCTTTGGGGGCCTCTTCAGTGGGGTCAGACAGAGGTTGCTTCCACTTTTGTCGACTGTCTGAAGCTCCAGGGTCTTCTAGATCATTTCTGAGGATATTCCAACCCTTTGTATCTTTCTTTTCTTTCAGTTCAACTGATGTGCCTTTATCTGTCTCAACACTTATTTTAAGGCAGGATGAGACTGGATGACAAGTCAGACCAGGCTTGTCTTTATGAGTATTTGGGTGTTCCACTGTGGGGAAGTATACCTCATCAGGACTCTCTTCATCTGGAGAAAGACTGAGGATGAAAGAAGGCCTGATTTCTTCAGTGGAGCTATGAGAGAGAAAAGAAAATGAGCATGTAAATTTTAAAATCCCTGCTTTTCAACCAGCAGCAGAAGAGTGTCAACGCTAAACTTTATGTCAAAGTTATACAGTATATGAATATCTTAAAGGGCAAATGCAAAGCAGAGTTAATATTTATGCCCTTCTGTTAATATCTGGGGACATTTTCAGAGGACATTAAATACTGTACCTTATAATGCTATGCATATTTCCTTTGCTACTTACTTTCTACACTGATATTCAGGCAGTCTCTCAGGTATTTGGAGGGACAGGGTGTATTTGTCTCTATAGGAGACGCATGCTGCCATCTCAGAAACCTCATGCTGCCAGAATGACAGAGACTGGCTGGACTGGTAAGCAGGGGGTTCGGAGCACTTTCTGTGGGAATAAGTCTGTAAGCACTGATAATAGGCTTCACTCTGAGACGTCTGCCTTTGGAGCGAGGAATCCCAGCAGGAGGAGGAACAGGAGGAGGTCTGGGATGATAGGGAGCTTTCTGGTGTCTGCGAGTACTGATAGTAGGCCGGGGTCTGAGAGCTCTGTCCCATGTTGGAAGAGTCATGGTGAGAGGTGGAAAATGAGGACACCTGGGGCCTGGACCATGGCCGGAACCATAGCATTGGGAGAGGGATTTATTTTACTTTTTGTGTTTTACACTTGCATTAATTACATTCAGGATTTGGATTTGTTATTGTATTTGCATATAAATGTGTCACATTTATATTGTTTAATAGGAAAATGTATTAATTGTGTCTATTTTAGAACAATCTAACTACTACAAAGACTATGATTTAAAATTCAGTGACATCCTCTTGCCCTTGTACTATACTAATTATTAACTGCCAGTGTTTGCTGTGTCACTGTGCAGGCCAAGACGCCTCTTCACTACTCTGCTCAGGCAAAAATGTAAGTGTAAAATGTAGTAATGTGAATGCAATGACAAAGTGGATACTCTAAGTGAACACAAGTGCATGACATGACAACTGTGCATAGACTTACCGATCTGTGTGTCCGTCTTTTCTCTCCTCCTGACTCATGCTCCTGCTGCCCTGAGCCCAAGGCTCCCTCTGGCTGCCATAATACCTCACCACTACCACATAAACAAGGAAAAAAACAAACTAAGGGAAGAACAGAAAAACTATTAAAGTATTAAATAAGTTATATAAAATGTCTAATTGAGAAGCTCTGACCAGTTAATTCCACATCATGTCTCCTTGTTTTACACTTTATACAAACAGTAAATGTCCACAAAGTGAGGTGACAAATTTTGTAATACATAGGTTCTGTCAAGCAGCACAGTATGTTGTTGTGATTTATAAAGTACACAACTCCACAACTCAGAAAACACAAAGTAGCCCAGAGCAACAATTGCCACCAATATTTTACAATCATCAACCCAAATATTACTCGGCTAAAACATTGTTTCCTACTGGTTTAAAAAATGCCAATCAAAGAATTAATTTGAATAAAGTAGAAAATATCAATTACAAAAGAGCTGAAATGTCTGATGATGAGGAACTACGGACACGCATCGAAATGAAAAAACAAATATTGTGAACATCAGTTAAGCATATTACAAGAAACCAGTTCATTTGAGGCTTTAAATAATTCTGTTTTGTCACAATAAACTACAAGCTTAAGCAAGATTTTCTCTACTTGTTCCCTGACTGACTTTGCCTGCTATTATGGGAGTAGTTCCTCTGGGAGCGAAGAACAGCCAGAATCTTCTGGGCCGGTTGGGACAGAGGTCCTGAGTACAACCTGCTGCTAGACCGCTCCATCTTCTCCCTATCAGAATGTCTGTTACTCTTTCTCCCTACCTGAGGATCTCACAGGACAAAGGGACAAAAAGGGAGAGTCAGATCAGTTACACAAAGACCTGGTTTAAATTGGCGACTGACAAGTGCATCAAACAATGTGCAAAAACATACAGGGCCATTCCCAAAAAAAGCTATACCAAGTATGCTGCTAACCTTCCACAAATATGTATATTGTTATAATAAAATGGAAAAAAATTCACAAATAAACTTACATAAAGATAACATTTTACTTTATTTATCAGAGGACTTAAAATAAAGAGGGAGTAGGAAATTTTAGAACATCACAAGATACGGAATTCCCAAATTTTTCTGTTAGTTTATGTAAAATTCTTTGTTTGAAATATACACACTCAAATGAATCCCAGTCACCATATAGACAGCACTGCTCTTATACAACCAAACTTTTTCCCAAGTTGAGTGTTGTCCCAAAGATGCGTCAATGAGGACTCAAGGGATTGATCTCCGTCTCCTACACAAACCAAGTTAAGATTCAAATTCTGAGTAGGTTTCACACATTGTAGCAGAGCAGGGGTTAATCAGTAATCCTCCACCGAAGGCACACAGTGTACTTCACAGATCAGCATCTCTTCGAGCTTTAATTACACAAGCTTTCTCCCTCAGCACAGAAACTACACACTGAGTTTGAGCTAGCAGTAAAAGCTCCCCATCGATTCTGCTAGCTTCGAGTATCACTGCCCTCTCTTCGCTGCCATTTTGCTCTCCAGATCTTCCACTATTTTCTGCAATAGGCGGGCATCCAAGTGAAAATAGATGTATAATTGTCTCTCTCGCCTGAGGAGGGCATTGCGCTCCAGCTGAGAACGCTTGGCTTTAACCTCCCCCATGATTTCTTGCATTACATGCTGCAAACTCTGCAGCTGAGACTCTGCTTCCACAAGCTTTGCTGTCAGCTCCTGTAGAGACAAAAGAAGAGGAATGAGAAATTAACAAAAAAGTGAACAGGAACAGGCTAAGTGAGCAAATATATAAAAATATGAGGTACCTGAACCACTTAATGGCTAGCTTTTAACACCAAAAAAAATCAAACGTAACTAGCTATGCAAATAAGATCATTTCTGTCGTAATTAAACTATTTTGCAAATAATTCTGTTAAGATACTTAACATAGTAACTTAACAAGTTACATAACAGACAGAAGGTATAAATATTAAGTAAACCCTCCATATTAAATCATCAAGTTGTCATAGCAATATTTATGCAATGTTAATTTCCTTGCAACACAGAGGGAACCTGATGTAAACATGCTGTTTTTTTCTAATGTGCTATTCTTGAGTAACTGCAATGACAGAAACATCACTACACAAACAGATTGATAGACACGCTGATGCATAATGTCATATAGGCTATGAACTATGGTGGTAGAAAAATTAATTGGAATGTTTTCTTGCGTCAATAAATACACTTTAAACATCAATATGACAACTTTGACTAGTTTGTTTTTATTAGCTCTCTACATGACACATGCTTTAGTGATGATCAGATCTTCAAGTGCTTAAAATTTATATAAATATCAACAAGATTATGTGAACTGTAGATATTTTGTTTCATCTAGGGGGAAAAAAAAAAAGCAGCGGAGCGTTGTTCTGGTGGCTCTGGTAGCACAACACCTGTGTGTCACTTCAACGTTACCCTATGAGCGAGAGAGAAAGAGGAGTGGTCAAAAAAGGGAATGTGTCCCTCATTGACTCCAGAAGTTACTACTATTTACCAGCATATAAAGCAGAAGGATCAGAAACTGAACTGAATGACGCGTTCTGTGTTTCTGTCTTTTCAGAGTGTGTGTGCTCTCACGTGTTGCAAGCGTCAGTTATATGCAGTTATATACGTTAAACTGTGGCAGGCAAATTCAATTTAGTATTAATTTAATACTACAAATAATAAATAACTACATTAATAGGAAAACAAGTCAAATATTGTCTTGACATTTGCAAAGGCATGAGCAATTGGCGATAGTACTAATGATCGTCAATCACTGATACCATTGTCCATTGTCACAACCTCAGTGTGAACGCACACAAGATGCACTGAGGACGCATCTGACCACTCAGACTACATTCAGAGGTGGTCTGTGCAACATGTGTCCACATTCTTTTAGCAGTGTGATCGCAAATGCGTCCTGGGCCACATTGAAGGACCGGCTACTCTGACTCCTCTGACACAGTCTGATTAGTCCCGCCACAGTTTAGTTTCATAGGCCCTGTTCACACCTGGTATTAACATCCTTCTCGGGTGATCCGATCACTAAGTGGACAGCTCTCAGTTCGTCAGTTCACACCTGCCTTTAAAATGCATCTCCACATGCATCTCGATTGACCACTTGTGATCGGATCACATTTCCCTGCTCTATATGCAAATACACAGGTATGCGTTATTGTTTTTAGCCAATCAACCGCTGGGTCACTTGTTAATGTGTGTGTGTGTGTGTGTGTTTGTGTGTGAAGCGGCAACCTCCAAGGCTGAAAAATGAAGCCAACACAGAAGTACCAAAAACTGACTGCAGTTCTTCGAATGGCAGCTTGAGGCTGGCTCCAAAAGTGAGTCAATCTTCATAGACTCCCATGTTTACTCCCATCTTTACAGCAGAAATAAACAGCCTGGTGCAAAAAACTGTTTGGTTTCTACAGCTAGTTTCCATGACAACTGTACGGGGGGTGAATTTTAACTAACTTGTTTAAATTTTATCCGCCGCTTTGAGTGGCAGACGGGTGAGCGTATGCCTGCCACAAGAAGGCATGCACCGAAGACTCGGTTCGACACACGGCCCTCCTCTTTGCCCATTTTTGTATTAGCCACAAGGTAGGCGGAGTCGGGTACTGGTAAGATGGTGATGACGGAACAGCCCACTCTGAGCTTCAAAACCCATCTCCAGAAACCTGTGGGTGACATCACGGAGGCTACATCCTTCTTTATTTAGTCTATGGTGTGTGTGAGAGCGAGCAAGTGAGAGAGAGAGCGAGTGGGGCACGGAGGGGTTATTTAAATATAAACCGGGGAAGTGAGATCCGATCAGAAGTGGTCAATCAAGACGCATGTGGAGATGCCTTTTAGTCAGGTGTGAACTGACGTACTGAGAGCTGTCCACTTGTGATCGGATCCTTGACGACGCATGTTAAAAAATTTCTATTAGCTAGTTTATAGAAGTATGAATAGAATAGAATGAGAGTTGCGTAGTGCTGACACTAACAAAATCTACAATGATATTAAACCAACATCTACTCAAGATTCCTCAGATTTGAAGGGAAAAAATACACTTGCGCACACGTCCGAAACACAAAGGCTATTCATTCAAACTGTTAAGATGTTGAGTCGGAAAATGTGAATATTCTCAGACAGAATCAGCAGACAAATACCAATCTCACTGTACCTGATACTAAAGCTTGTGTCATGCAGCAAAGCAGAGCCATTTATCTCACAGTGCTTTTATAGCAAACACCCGTATCTCTTTAAGTTAAGTACTTGACATTATGAAATATGTTAACAATGTGAAAAGAAAAAACTTATTGTGCCACCAGCTTCCCTCACCAACAGTGATGAGTAATTTAAAAATCAACTGACTCACATTAAAGATTGCCTTTGAAACGCACTCTGTATGGTTGACCAAGATGACTGTGCTATAAAATAAAAGGAAACAAACCCACCTGTGCATTGGGGCAGAGCAGCTCCTGGTCAGTTATGGCCGTTGGACGTACCTGCGGCCCTAAGACCAGCTGCTGAAGCTCTGTGTACATGGCCCTGTGGAGCGCCTCACAGTCACCATAAAGACGAGCAGCTGTGTAGTACTGTTCACGGCCAGCACCGGCTAGAGCATCTCGGGTCACCTGGAGGTTGCCTCCTAGGTCACAAGCAGCCTGGTCCAACGCTTCATATGTCCGAAAAGGCTCTGATCGGCCATGGTCTGAATCATGGTCGAGGATCTGGAGCAGTCTGAGGAAAGCGTTGGGTATAATACAAAATTACATTCCAAAGTAAGGCCAATACAATACAGGTATTGAAAAGGTGACATATACTTATAAAATGCTGACACTAAGGAAAAACTCAAAACAGTTTAGACTCTAAAACAGGAGGAGTTTGAGTCTTCTTACCTGCTGAAGGCTGCATCCTTGCAGCTGATGATTGGATTGGGCCTGGGGTTAATAGATAGATCAGGGTGTGCCAAGGACTCAATCCTGAGGGCTACTGCTTCACCTTCCTTAACCATTCTGTTGTTTACTTCTCCCAGCTTCTTCAGACACGTCCTCCACCTCCTCAACTCCATCTCCTGAGCCAAAAGGACCAGGTCAAAGGACGCCTTCTGACGGAGCAAGTAATCACGAACCTAGGTGGAGAGATTTATATTTCAGTTTAGTGTGGCTGTCAATTTTTTGTTTCCACGTTGTCTTACAATGACAGACGTGGTTTCAAGTCTTCAGGTCACAGTTCACACGGCTGTTATGGAGACATGGATCAAAACCATTTTTTCTCTGATTAATTCTTGATTATTTATCCATTAGTATGAAAATCAATCTTTAAAGGAAAACGCATGAAACAATATGTGTTGGGAGACAGAAATAGTCATTACATTTTTTTTTTTTTTTGATTAAGGTACAAATTCTCACCATTGCCAACTGTGTATGTTTACTAGCTGACCCTGAACTCTTACTTGTCTGTGTGAGGCCGCAAAAAATAATCATATGTAATAAATACTATAGGTTAATCACAGAGGCTCAACTATATCAAGGTGAAAAGCGAGACATCACCAACTAACCTTATCCTGTCTGGAGGTGTAGTAGTCCTGCCTGGCCAGTTGCAGAGCCAGGTCTCCTCTCACCACTGGCACATTAAGCAGCCTGGCTGACTCCCTAAGGGCAGCCGGTAGCGGTCCATGGAGGAGAGCCTCCAGCTCAGCCTCCACAGCCTGCAGCTCCTTCTTGGACACGACTTCACGCACATGTAGTGACGAGGAGGTGGAAATGCTCTGATAGAGTGAAGAGATAGTTTTGAGGGAGAGCTTAAGTGAGTAACCCAGAACAATAAACAATGAGAACGGTGACATTAAAAACAATAGACAAGAAAATACACCATACTGTATATGTCTGCTTTACCTTGGTATGAGATGAGTTCTCCGAAAGAAAGTCCAGTCCAGCCTTGACACTCTTCTCCTCCGCCATAGCCTGCATCAGTTGGTGTTGGGTCACAACATGAGACCACTGAAGTCTGGCCATCTCTGTCCTCCTACGCTCCACCACTCGCTCCTCCCTCTCTCTTCCCTCTTGCTCTATCTCTTTCTCCTCTTCATCTTCACAAGAACTGAGGTCAAGGACCTGGAAGCGCTCGGAGCAAGACGTCTCAATAATGTCAGAGATGCCCTGGAAGAAATGCTTCTGAGTGAAGGTGGCAAGTGTTTTGGTGTTGAGTTCCTCCTGATGCAGGTAGGGATCCAAGGACTGCTGAGAGAGGAGGACAGTGGGCCTTTTGGCAACAGAGGGGTTTGATGGGGCCATAGGTTCTCCTGCTGCTTTTTGCTTGGTTTCTGGCTGAGCAGGGAGATATGAAGCAAGTTTGCTAACCTCATCTGTTAGGTTTTGTAACAGAGTGTTCGTTTCAGCATTCTCAGCTCCAATAAAACTACTGCACTCCTTTAGCTTACACGCAGCACTCTCAAGCTCTGCACCAAGTCGTAGGTCAACATCTGCACGGGATGTAGCCACAATCTGCAACCTGTTATAGCGTCGCTGCTTCAGCTCCTTCTCTTTACGCAGTGCCTGGAGCTCTGCCTCCAAATCCTCTATGGCCACATCACCCTCTGCTGCAAACCCAGAGGATGAAGATGAAGAAGAGGGCCCTAAGATGTTTCCACTGCTACCATCTGAAGGGCCAATGGTTTTTAGGACCTCGCCCAAGGCTGCTTCATCCAGAATTGGTTTGCCGGACTTCCTTAATTCTTGAAAAGCACGTGCTTCCTCCACAGTGAGAACATTGTTCCGGTTGAGGGTCCGACAGACAAAGCGCAAAAAGTGAAGGTTCTCCGGGGCACAGTCAAACAGCCAATCGAACTCTGAGGCCTTCAGTGATGATGCATCAGGATAACCTAGACGGCCCAGCGCCTCCACAAAGTGGCCACCGTCTAACATGGTGGTTCAGCACCCTGTTTCCCCCTTGTTACTGTGCTAGTCAGTCACACAGCAGCACAATGTGGAATATGGAGAATTAGGTAAAAGCAAATACAAACAAAGTAAGTGAAGATATGACAAAGCAATGATCAGCTCTTTGGAGCTTTACCCACGTTTGCACCATTTGTTTGTTCCAGCTACATTAGCTGGAAAAACCTAAACTATTTTAAAACACTCTTAATGAATGCTGTTAAATCTAAAACACAACATTGTGAGTAACCTGCAGAGCATACAAAATACATAGCAGCACACAGCTTAATTTGTTAACAGTTTATCATCTTATCATCATTCTGTCAACTATAGTTGGTGGTGGACCTGAATTGCATTGTGTTATACTGAGAGGTGCCTAAAATGCATAAGGCTGAATATTCAAAATTCCTCTCAGATTAATGCAATAATGCAACTAATATCACCACAAACTACAGCTACAAATACCAAAATGGCCATAAAGTTGAAACAAAACCTCCATAAAACAGTTTCAACAAAATCTGAACATTATGATCTTCTAAGTAAGATTTATTGCAAAATCAATAATAAAAGTCCTATCCAAACCTTTCTGCCACAACTGCTCCTCACTGCTCCCTCCTTAGACATAACACAAAACACTACAGGATAGTTGATGAAACCATTTAAGAAAAGTTCTTATGTAGATTAGACGTTCTTACTGCAAAGCTATAGAGCTGTCACACATATTTGAATTGTTTTACCAGTAAAAGTGAGGGGGTTTTGGTAAAGTGTGCACTGTGCAGTGTACTATGTAAGAAAAAAATGGATCAAAGAAATATAAAATTACTGTCAGTCAATTAATAGTAAAGTCGTCTACCCGGGATCTAATCCAAAATTATCAATAGGAGCATCCCTGCTCAAGACATACCACATTAATATTGAGTAATATGGTCGCTTAAAGACATCCTTTGGGGAATGGTTATGATGGATACGTTCTGTTAACAGCTGCTGTAGCCGTTAGGGCCACGACGGACTTTTAACCAACCAACATTATGTTTCAATATCATGATAAGAAAAAAGCCCAACGATATCTAGTCTTCCCAACATAGTCTCTTTCAGCTCCAACTTAAATTCAGGTTGGATAGGTAGCTGAAAATGGGCAAATAGTCGCTTCACTTCTTTCAGCTTCTGTAGCTAAAGTAAACCGTTGCTATTTACAGCCAGTTAATAGCTAGAAAGTGTCGCTAGCACGGTAATAACTACAATGGCTCTTGTCAGTTGTATCGAAAGTAATGAGTTTAGTGTGTTGTCTTATCAACAAAAAAACAAATTGGTACCGTATTACTTACTTGTTTTACTCCGTTTCGTCAGCACTCCTTCCTAGCTAGTTAGCTGTACGCGCCAAACATCCAAACGGCAGTTTTCTTCTTCTTCTTTGGTTTTTAACGGCGGTTGGCAACCAGCTTAGTAAGTGCATTACCGCCACCTTCTGCTCCGGAATGTGGGCCAAATTAAACCCGGACTCAAGAAAACTACTCTGCTCAACCCGTACACTTGACAGGTGCATGAAATATTTAATGCTGAGTTCCTGAACTCCAGTCTCCCCCAGTCCTTCCTTCATATATTTTCTTTCTTGATCATATTGCATGAGTTACAGTCTCCTCAATCTGACAGTGCTCACATAAACCAATTTGATGTTTTCCTATTATTCTGAGTGTGCTGTTTAAGTTGGAATGACCTACCCTCATTCTGTTGCAACTAACCTCTTCTTTCCTTGACCTACCTATATTTCTTATTGTTAAATGAACTTTGTTGTTTAAACTTTATAGAAATCTACCTCTTGTTTCAGTGTTCCACTTCCCTTGCCACATATCTATTTCTTTATTACTCTATTACTTCCAAACTATTACCTTGACCTCTGATTTATGATGATATACACCTTCTCATTTCCCCTCAGACCAACATGTGCTGGAACCCACATAAACCCAATTACCACACCTTTCTGAATTAGTCTTGAGCATATTTGTAATGCTCTGAACAGGATATTTTGCTAACTGGTGTTTAAGGATTTCAGGCTCTGAAGAACTGAAACAGAATCAGAGCAGATTAATGGTTTACTTTCCTCTACCCACTGCAGAACCAAGAGTACTGGCAGCATCTCTAGTGTGTAAACTTTATTGCAACAACTTTCCTGTTTGGCACTGAAAAAGAAGCCCCAGTTGTCTGATGTTCTGAGTCTTTTCACCCATCTGTATACACTTGTGTGTACTAGGGTAAGTGCTGTCTAACAAGGACTGTAAATGCTGTTAACAGGTCCACTTTCCCTCTCTCTGCCTTCTTGAGCTGTTGTATGGCTCTATGGCTCAATCTCCAGAATTACTATTGTTAGGCTCACTTTAATTATTAATTCCCATATCCTCCACATGTATAATGCTAGCACACCCAAATCCCTCTCTTTGCCCTCTACCTTGCAGCAAAGGTAGTTATATATGTTGGGCCACAAGTTTCACTTTGCTATAAGGGACATAAATGTTTTTTAATGAAGAGAAGTTAGACACTTAAACACATCATGGTATTTAAAACCTTCTAACATTATCCATTTATTTTATCTATATGATCAGCCCATGATAATTATGAATTAAAAAGAATTCTAGGGATCTAAAAGCATGTACCCTCCCCAATGATCTTCCTTACAGCTGCAGTCTGCAGGGAGATCTCTTTTCCTTACTGTAAATTTAAATCCTTAATCAAATGCTCACTGTTCTATCTTATCAATTATCTTCCCATTAATACAGAAAATATTCATTTCCCTTTTCACACAGCCACATCATCCACCAAAAGAAATCTTACTGGAGAAAACGTCACTGAGGAGCACCTCTGACCGGACGTCGACACGCAGGGAAAACGTAAACGTCCTTCGTCATACGTCAGGGGCAGCGCTAAAATTCCAGCCAATCAGAAATTTAAGGATCGAAGCTCATTTCCCGCTCTCTCTCCTCCCATTCTTTCAACAACCCGCCGCGTTCGGGCCTATCCGCACTGAGCTGCCAACTTCTGCCATTTCTTTCTGGGCAGCTGCTACCGGTAAGTTATATGAATGAAGTTGAGAGGGCTGTCTGTGGGTCTGTCTGTTACCTGCTATTTTTGGAGAAGGGACATCAGTGAGGACCTTTAGTCAACAGCAGGGAGTTCACTTCTCATTTTTAAGCTTTTAATTTTTGCTGTTTGCTTTGTGGAATCAACAACCAGTGTTATCTAACTGATAACAGTCATATTTATAGTATCACATATTGACTTTATTGTTGTTTTTCTCAGAGAAATTATTCCAAGCAAATGTTAGCTCATCTCACTGGACTTGCTTCTTCCTGATATTTGGGTGTGTATGTGTATGGCTGCAAGTGTTTGTGTAAGTTGAATGCATTCCTTTTAAATTACTGTTTGTTGTTTGTTCCAGTTTGGATTTACTGTAAGACTTCAGAAACAGCTAATTATAACCAGTCATGATACTACAGCCTGAGGACATTTCATTTAACACTTACACTGACAATAAAATGTAACTGCTACCTGTGCTGCTATTGATTTAGTTTGATGCACTGTATCACCACCAGTTAATTTCACATGGTCCTTTCTTTTACTTTCATGAATGACACAGGCTTTAGTGAGGAGGTTATTACACCCAAATACGCAGTCATGGTCCAGGCTAAGACGTGGATCCTAACCAAGCACTTTGAGGGCTTCCCAAAGGACAGCAACTTTGAGCTCAAGGTGGAGGAGCTTCCCAAGCCCAAAGATGGAGGTTAGGTCAATTTTGTCAATTGATTCACTCTGCTTAGGCTTGAAGAGGTGGTGGTGTTATTTGTCTTGACTTTGTCTCAAACATTAAACACCAAGCATTTAAAAGGAGTCAGTGCTTACTTGACTCCTTCACATACAGAAGAGGCAAACCTCTGTGGTTTAAGTGTACACTTAAACACTGTTGTTTTTCACTGTTTTTGGTTTAGAGGTGCTTTTGGAGGCAGTGTTTCTCAGTATCGACCCGTACATGAGGTGAGCGAAGAGCAGAATCATGCATCTGAGAAATGTTCTGGGTTATCATTGTGAATTCTCGTTAACATTACAAACTCATTCCTTAATGGGGAAAAAAAAGAAAAAGCATATAAAATGTAATGCAACGCTGTGTTTGTCTCCCCAGGCCGTTCAGTAGGGTCCGCATGAAAGAAGGCGATGTGATGATTGGAACTCAAGTGGCCAAGTAATACATACACACACACACACACACACACACACACACAGTCTTTTATCTGTCATGATGTACTGCACACATGATGTTTCCCTAAACAGACCAAAACCTACACCTGCTGTTAATTACTGCAGCCTTTGATTCCCAGTGACTCAAGAGTGAAATTGGACCATTGAAATGTTCTTGGCAGAGTGTTCAGACGCTCCATCTGTTTCAGTGGGAATGTTTTTGTTGATAAACATGAAGAATAAATTACTTGGTGACCACTTTCCAACTTTCCAAAGCTTGTCAAAATAATCAAATTCAAACCCATATGTTCTGGATTTTTCTGTACCTTCTAGTTAACTTACAGTGTGCAAAACGAATCTGCCGCATGGCTTGAAATCACACAGTTGTCCATATCATGACACACTTGAAAACAATCTTAAGAGTTTTGTGTGTTGTGTGTATGCTCTACATATGACACCATGGATTGAATTGCCAGGTGAGAAACACATGTGACTTTCTTCTCCCTCCTCTGTTTTCTTCTTCTTCTCTGTAGAGTGATCCAAAGCAATAACCCAGCATTTCCCGTGGGAAGCCATGTTGTCGGTCGTTGTGGCTGGAGAACCCACACAGTCTGTGATGGGACAGACCTCATTCCCATCATGCCTGAGTGGCCTCAAGACATCTCATTGTCGCTGGCTCTGGGTATCATCGGCATGCCAGGGTAGGACAGATGCTAAGTTAAATAGAACTAGAAGTTAAATGCGGAGGAGTTATATGTAGGAGCCAGGTTTCCAGAGGTAAAAGTACAATTTATTTTATAGACATTAAGCTGTGATTGGCTGTCCCAACTTCCCAAGTTGTCGCTGCTGAATCATAAATACAGACTAATAGCAAATGCACTAAAAAACATTTTGGTTTGTAAAAGCCAAAGACTGTTCACAACAGCTTTAGTAAACACATGAAGCTGCAACTGCTAAAAAGCAGAAGGATGCTTAGGAGCCAAAAATAGATAACTGGTAAGCTTGGGCGACTCACACGTGTGAACAATACATTCAACCTTCCCTGAGTAAATATCAGAGGAGAGTCCTAACCTGAAAAATATTTAGCCATTTTCCTGCTAGTGGAACTTACCTTTTGAAAAGGGAGGGTGTTGTTCCTCTGCTGTTTTTAAGGCTCTCAGCTCAGGAGAACGGCTGAGTTTCGTTTTCCTTTGAGAAAATAAACGGGAAAGGCTCCAGATGTTTTGTTCAGTGGTGAGCTGAAGTGACCTTACAAACACTGATAACCTTGCTTTGGAAGCAATTACAAAGAGTTTACATTACAGGGGTCACAGGGGCTCCTCTGGAGAACTGAAAGGAAAACATACCTCATGCTTTTCAACTTTTAGAGGTTGCATTTTTATTTCTTGTTCCCTCTCTCCAGACTCACAGCACTGTATGGGATCGAGGAGGTCTTGGGACTCAAGAAAGGTGAGACCCTGCTGGTGAATGCTGCAGCAGGGGCAGTGGGCTCTGTGGTGGGCCAGATTGCCAAGATCAAGGGCTGCAAGGTGGTGGGTTCAGCAGGGTCTGACGCAAAGGTGGCCTTCCTTAAAGAGCTGGGCTTCGACGAGGCCTTCAACTACAAGACTGTTGGATCCCTGGAGGAGGCACTGAAGAAGGCTTCTCCAGAGGGATACGACTGCTTCTTTGAAAATGTAAGCAATGGTGGTGTAGTTCCAACTCCGAAAAGTGTCCTTGAGCTCTTCTTGTTTGCTTATTACACTCTGTCCTATGTTTAAAACTGTGTTATTGCTTATGTTTTCATCGGTGCAACTGTCATGTCTGTCTTGACTTCAGGTGGGAGGCCCTTTTTCAAGTGCCGCCTTGCAACAGATGAAGAACTTTGGAAGAATAGCTGTGTGTGGAAGTATTTCTGTGTACAATGACACCACGCCTCAGACAGGTGTGCACTGCTCTCCTTCCATTTATTATTATTATTTAGTCTAATTTTATCACTTTAACTCAATGCCTGCTTGTGAAAGACATAGTGAAATGCAGGAATTACAGTGTGCAAACAAATTATTCACCCCTTCACAACTTCACATGTAGTAACACCTTTGTTCACTAGAGGGCGACACAGTGTGACTGAAAAGCTTTGGAGATGTATGAACAGACTCTTAACAGAATTTCTTTCCTTAGGACTCCCACTGAAAGTCACTATATATTTTTCTTCAACATCTCTCTCTCTCTCTCTCTCTCTCTCTCTCTCTCTCTCTCTCTCAGGCCCGTACCCTCATCTGACCATGATCTTCAAGCAGCTTAAGATGGAGGGCTTCATGCAGAGCAGGTGGGAGCACAAACACCCTGAATCCCTCAAGAGGCTGATGGGATGGCTGAAGGAGGTTAGTGACTGAAAACAAATTTATTATAATGTCTGATATGATTCAGAAATTTCTCTGTGTGTCGTCAGTTGTAACGTTTGTGACTGCTTTATTTACTCTGCATCTGCAGGGCAAACTGCATAGTCGGGAGCACATCACAAAAGGCTTTGAAAACATGCCAGCTGCCTTCATGGGGTTGCTGCAGGGAGACAACATCGGCAAGGCTGTCGTCGCAGTCTGATGTGAACCATGGGATCAATAGAGTCGGAACAGTATTAACAATAAGTGATACATTATTACAGAATTCATACATGAAGGACTGACAACTAACCATATACTTTCATATTAACATGTCAATGTATCTTATTTGAATATTTTTGTAGTCACATTAACAAAACATTATTGATGAAAGCATTTCTGTAGTTTAGTCGTGAGGAAATATGATTTATAATTTCACTGTTAAAGGATTCAATCTGAAACAATTCATCCTCTAAAAGTTCTTAAATTGTGATGATTTGTATGAGGCTGAACTATTCTGTAAGTTTGTTGGATTCTCATTCATGGAAAAAGGTGCTTTTTTTTTCATGAATACCAGTAGCTCTTACTGCTAGTTTTTTTTTTTTTATTAAGGTTTTGACAGTTTTCATGGCACCACTACCCAGACAGTTAGTCACATATTTGAGTGTACTTCATGTGGGAGAGAGCAGACTGCTATGGGAAAACAGTAAGGCATGAGATGGCAGTTTTAGTAAGGAAATAAGTGATAACTATGTGCCAGGAAGTACCTGAATGGGCTGTGTGGGTATGCTGCTCATACATTCATTTACTGTAACATAATTAACCATGCACTTTGTATTTAGTGAAAGCTTTTATATAGGTAATAAAAACTGTTTGGCTTTTTTTTAAGTCTCTGTTGGCATCATGTCTTTTACTTGTGTGTTATTGGGCTGACTGAGTATCTATACCATACAAATCTGATGTTAATTTATACTGTACATGTCCTGCATTTAAGGCCTGTGTGATCCTTTCAATTCTAAAAGGAGTGGAGTCTAGATAATAGCGGAGGCACTGTTATCCTCCTGCTGCCAAGTGGAGCTTTTTGTTTCATCAGGAAATAGACTGTATTTTTAGCTACTAATCTGAATTTCATAAGGTTGTGGAGAGCCCCGGCTCCATGGTTACATAGGATGCTGTTAGTCTGCTATGGCCAGTTTTAGTCCTGTGAAGTAGCACAAGGTTTACCCACTGCCCTGTAGTAGTGTGATAGTTTGTGTACCTGTTGGAGAATGGTCCTGATCCAACAGTAAAAGACACTCTGGGGTATGAATATGAAAGTGACCAAAATAATGTTATTGTGAGGCTGGAAAAAACATTGTTTACTTTCCACCGAATGAAAAAGAAATATAGACATTTTTGATTTTACGGCATATATATAAAACATTTTATTATTTGGTTGTTAAAACATCATGTTGATGCATCATTGCGTAAACAGCATTGTTCTGCAGCTCCTCAAGATGGAGCTGGTTTTAATGACTTTAAATACTTTTAAGTAGCTTGATCTCAGTTTGGTGGAAGCTTGATGGGACACACTGAAAAAACAACGTGGCATAAAATAATTTGGAGATAGTTAAACCGAGGCTGGAAAAACTTGGTAGACATGTAGTCACCTGCGGTACATTGCAGTGTGGGTGGAGTTAAGTGAAATTGAGCTGCGCAGACTTAGTCACTTACGGTAAACCAAGAATTTGTCAAGTCATTGTGACTCGAATCACTGCAGCCGCTTTTCCTGTTCTTACCAATGCTTATGAGATAAATAATAACACATACTTCAACAAACTATCATACTATTTAATATTACAGAATACAGCGTAATTGGTCATAGACCTACTAGTAATCGGTTTAATGTTTTCGGTCAGATTTGACGACTGATTCATCCAAACGATTGGGAAGCATTTGATACACCCACCGGAGGATACACCCATCGGAGGACATACTTTTACTTTTACTTTTTTTTTTTTTTTGCTGCAACATCTAGTTGTAGTGACGGATTAAAAATGGTCCAACAGCAAACCAATGAGGTGTAAAGCTATGAAATGAAGTATTACGTCGCTGACAACTTTCAAAATAAACGTCTTTACTTGGCTCTGCTTAATACAGACAGTACAGACACTCAGATACTTTACTTATGTAAACATATACCACAATTTCAATATACTTCATTACAAGTAAAAGTCCTGCCAGCCTCCAAATTGACCTCAAAGTTGAATCAACATCTCTGAAACAGTCTCAACCCGAACTGAACGGTATTGTATTAAACTGCATTAGTTATAGCTGGGCACACCTTTGTATTTCATAAAGATACTTAATAGATCAATAGTTTAATGAACAGATAAAGGAAAAGACAGATGAAAAATACTGATGGTGCACAATTGGTCCCAGTTCCCCTAAATACTTTACCTAAACTACCTTACGCTGGCAATAAACTAAATTCTCTCATCCATGAGAGTCTTTTAGGGGAAGTCCGTAAATAGTGGCCACATATTTTCAAAGTCTTAGATTTTCCCTTTAATGCAAACATACATTTTTCCATAGATAGTGAGCTTGAAAGTCCTTTCAGCCATTGTCTAAAGGAAGGTGGATTTTTCCAGCACAGGACAATTGTATATTTTGCATACAGACAACAAAAAAATACATATATATATATCTTTTTCTCCTTACAACTTAAGTTTGGCTACATACAGTAGGAGACATACAATAACATACAATAGATTAAGTTTTCATTAACTCGTCTAACAATGACAGACTTTTATTTTTGAGGTACACCACAGTGACTTCCGCTTAATGCTGCAATAAAAGCGCGGTGTCTCCTCTCATAAAAGGGCATTGCCAAACTTAACCGATTGTTGTCTCATCTTAGGCCGGTTGACTCAACAGCTATCATGGTTCGCGAAGTGGAAAGTTTGGTAAGTTGTGTCTTGTTTATATCACTGTTTTTGTCGTTTAAGAGCCGCCATTGTGAACACAGAGGTCTGTGCTTCATCGTTAAACGCTGCTCCTCCGGCGGGCCAGCCCCGCGCCATTCCCGTTGCCCATTCTCCTCTTGAGAGGAATACATTTAGTCGGATTTTCTCGCTCGTTTATTGAGAGAGATGAGTCTGAAATTTGATCAAACATTCGGTTTAAGGCTTTGAGTCCTCATTTTGGTACGTGAGTGGATGATTCAGCATGTATAACGACGGTTTGATAGACGGCACTGAAGTTAGTTTTGCATTCGTAGGTTTAACACATGTTACAATTGTGTTTTAATCAATTTTTACACACACACTCTCTCTCTCAGTCTAGTCCAGGATTGACAAATTTAAATATGGTGATTTTGATCTAGACTTGGTCTGCTCTGGTTAGGGTGGGGCGGTGGGTGAAATCGCCACTTTCTGTGTGTTCATATGAAATTAGGGCTTCATAAATGTGAAACTGAGTTAAACAGTTGCAGGAGTGTTGTTGTTGTTGTTATCCAATCCAGATCTGATAACTGTAAATAAATACGTCTCTAAGACAGTCCTGATCTACGAACGTTGTCTGGATGAAGATTTCTTTCTTTAACAAGTTAAACAAATGTTTAACCAACCTGAAAGTTGGTTTTAAACAGCGTTAAGGCTTGGATTAGTCTGTCTGATATCCTTATACAACAGTAAATGGATTTTTAAAATAAAAAAAAAATAAAAAAAACGAAGAATCGGCCTCATAATGTAATCATAACTTTTCTCCATTTCGTGTCGAAACGCGGACTGAAACTAACTTCACGTCAGTGTCGTGGCTGAAAGCCGCGGCCATGTGTAGGACGGTAGACTTTACCCTTTCGTCGCCAGGCGGGAATACAGTTACTTTTATTAACGTTAGGCTGCAGTGGAAACGCCTTACAGACGGCTGTGTTGTGTTGTTTACTGAATTAAATCACCATAACGTTAGTTGTGAATGTCGCTGGATTGTTTGCTAATGGTTGCGGCTACAGAGGCTAAAGGGATGGCTAACGTCAGAGCTGTTACATAAGGTCGGGTAACTGGTTGTCCACGACAGGCCAGACCCATTTTACCCGGTGTCTCAGCGTGGGAACTGGTGTGTCCTTTTCTATCACGGAGCACTTTAAAATACCCAAACTCAACTGCCACATGGGTGTGTTTGTTTTGTTTATCACATATTTATAATTGGCAAGCAGAGTTATTGAAAAGTAGCTTTGCTATTGTAGGGTTAGGGTCTATAGCGGGAAGAGTCACTTTATTTTATACAAACATAGTTTATCTATTCACACTCTGGACCTCTCGATTTTGAATGTAATGACTGCTATATGTACAGAGTGTATAGGTAACTACACCACGAATATAGTATATATATACTCTATAGTAGAGGTCATAATTTTATTTTTTACAGCCCAAAATCACAATTATGCCTTAGAGGTTATGATTATAAATAAGGGAAAACTCAACAATAGAAACTCTTAAGCTTAAAAAAAAAAAGGTAAACCCTCTAGAATAACCTACCCAGGAGGGCACAGTAATACTGTTTTGGATACATTTATATAGTTGAGCTGCCTTGTGTCTTATGGTCTGGTTGTATGTACCGTACTGAAGCCTGAATCCAAGTTACTATTACACACACGCTTTAAGTAAAAGCTTTAAGATATAATGAAGGAAATGTTGGGTTTTAAATTTGCAGTGTAACTAGCCATTGACAAATGGCCAAACAAATAACTGCAGATGATGGACTGGAGACAAACACAAACTTACATATTCCCAGCAGTACTTTCTGAATAATTATGTGGCTGCATGATCAAAAACCAGTTACAGGCGTTAACTGTTTTCATTTCCTGTAGGACGAGTTCAAGGCCATCCTGAAGGAAGCCGGAGACAACCTGGTGGTGGTTGACTTCACAGCCACGTGGTGTGGCCCCTGTAAACAAATCGGCCCGAAGTTTGAAGTAAGTGGATGATTGTCTTGTAAAAACATGGTTTAATGTGTTTTGAAATTGTTTTGTAAAATGAAGTTTCAATTACAGACACAAAGTAGGATCATATTATTATTATTTTTTTTTTATTTTTTTCATATTCTAAATCATTTTTAAAGTCGAGGAAAACGGTTGATTATATGTCAGTATGAACAAGGGAAATGTCAAGGGAGAACCTACAGTAGATGATGGGCACAAAGAAAGATGTTGGTCACTTTCATAGGTGTGTGGATATGAGGTATTTTATCTTTAAATATACAGTAGTTGTAGCCTTTTGAAACAAATGTCTGTAGTCAGTTAGGGTTGTTTTTAAATGAGCCTTTTCCTGAGGGATATGTTTTGCTTGAAGAGCACCTCTTTGGAGAGGGAGATTGTTGCTCAGGCAACCCTTTTGTCAAGCCGTTCCCACTTCAAGTAGGAAAAACATGCTTCACTGGAAATGTGATGCAATGGCTGTAAACGCATTAAATAAATAATACAGGAGTTTAGTAAGGGTTCTTTTTTTTTTTTTCTCCCTCAAAGACTGAGTTCACACCAGGAACAGAAATGCATCACTATATTTTCTCACAATCATAGGGCAGCCGTTGTCATGTGCATCACGTGCCGTGAGTATCTTAATGCTCACCCATCCATTCTTTTGCAGGCTCTGTCAATAAAGCCTGAATACAAGCACGTCATTTTCCTGAAGGTGGACGTGGATGAGGCTGAGGTGAGTGTGTGTGTGTGTGTTTGTTTATTTGTTGCGGTCGACTGGGGAAGTCCAAAAGAGCAGTGTGTTAACCATGCCACTCCTAAAAGACAAGATTGACATTACCTCACATAACCTGAAACAGCTCTCCATCTGAGGAGAACTGGAAAGGAAACTTTATATGAGAGAAGCATTAAAGAAATTGTCCTTTTCACATTCTGGTAGTTTTAGCTTACGTTGATGGGGTTGCCATGCCATTAATACTCAAAGCAATGTGGACTATTCATGAAATCCCTTCCACCAGCCAGTGTGGATCCATAGCTGGCTCATGTGACCAGAGATTTTGTCTGTTATACAGTGTGGTGAAATGAGACCAAACCATGCTTGGTTATCATTTTGGTGTTAAAATCTGGGACATAAAAATGCAAATAAATGACCAATAAGCCTTAAACATTACCAGCACTGTTAAGGGGGATTACGGCTTTTGGCAGAATGCTTTTCCTGCATGGCGGCTTATTGTAACCCACATGTGGTAACCCTCTGACACACATTGTGACATAAGGGCTGTACTGACATACAAAGGATATTTTATCTTTTGTCCAAACTCCAGTTTATATCTGATCTGTGAAACATTTAACATCAACCTTTTTGAGAATAGTATTCTAGGGCTGGAACAAGCAATTGATTTCAGTAACTGGTCCAATTAATATTATACAAGTGAACAACCAGGTTGCTCACAATCTAATCTTATTTAATCGTACTACCAGGGTTAATGCATGTATAGTAATATAACGTATGCTAACATGTTAAGGCTGGCAGTGCATGTCAAAGTTTACCGTATATTTGATTCAACATGTTTATGCTTAATTAAAAAAAAACAAACAAATAAAACAAACACACTTCTGTTTGTATTGTACAATTAATACATGTATCATTGTGGTTGGCTCATCAGGAGTCTGTAGCAGTGGTTATGACTCGTGCAGCCATCTGACTGTCTGTCCCTTTTTGCTCTTTTCAGGATGTGAGCGGTTTTTGCAAGATTAGTTGCATGCCTACATTCCACTTTTACAAGAAAGAAAATAAGGTAAGTTTAAATATACAGCAAAGATGGAACAGCACATATTGGTGTATTCTTTTTACTCTTTTGGTAACATTTTTTTTTTTTTTTTTTTTTTTTTTTTTTTTTTTTTTTAAAGGGGTGTTTTATTATGCTAATTATCAAATCTCACAAACATGCACCTAGAACATGAGACATTTATCAGGTTTGTCCAATTACGAGCTTAGTGAATCTGACCTTAGGCCCTCATAAGCAGTTGTAACAGAAAAAAGTTAATGAAGCTTTAGTGTAAAAATATGAAAATGTATCATTGCTTACTTTTTTTGTAATTAAAGCTGGTTTTAACCCTCTGTGTGTTCTGTCTTTCAGGTGGATGAGTTCTCTGGTGCTAACGCAGAGACGCTGATACAGAAACTGCAACAACATGCGTGACCAATCCACGCACACCCTTCTTTGTATAAACACAGAAGCTGCTGTTACCCTCTGTCCACATCTCAGAAATTCCAGTTTCATTTTATGTACAATAAGCATCAGGTGTCCTATTCCATACAGGTACTAATTTATTCCACTCATCATGTATTGGTTATAGTCCTGTAAGCTCAATGTGTGTATCGACTGTCTCAACAACAAGCTGAAATTTGACTACATCCTGATGTGACAACACTTTTTAAATTGTTTTATGAAGAATTGGCTTCTCCTGACCAGCTCCAGAACTTTTCTTTTGTATTTTGTGTTCAACAAAGTGGATTTAATAAATGAAGATGACTTACAGAAATGTTGTAATTTTGTGTAATTCCCATTTCAGTACATTAAGCACAATAATACATAACATCTTGCTGTAAGGGTGAAGAATCTGATCAAAAGAGCATTTCATGGTATTTTATGCTTTAATAAAAATGTGAGAATAGTTTACACATATACATTGAACAATTGCATCAATAGTTTTTACACATCGTACAAGTATATAGCAGCATACGTTTAATACTGTTGAGTCTCTATATGAAAAAATACAGCTTTATTTTACAAACTGGTTCTTGCTTTGCCTTTTGCAGAGAGATGAGAATGAACGGTTTACAAGTGTGTCAGTTAACTATACAAGAATTCCCTTCATAAGATGATTCACATGGAGCTGAGTGGAAACTTTAGAAGTGATAGTATCCTGATTTCCTTTTCCTGCAACGAGAGGGAAATAAGTTTTACCTTTCATGTGAAGGAAATTCAGGGTTAGCACTTTTTTAAAACATTTTTATTGTATACAGTCAGAAGAAACACTGAATAATTCTGAATGTTTTCTCATTTTCATTTCCTTGTGTACTGTAGATCTTAACTTCATTGTCATTAGTTTTTATTATACCAAGTAAACTATAACTTAAGTTGAGGACGGACCTGCACATGCAGCAGACAGTACTTCAAAACCTGGATAAAGTGCATGCTACAGTTACTGTTTTTTTTCCTCAGTTTCTCAGAACAAGAATAAAGGCTTATCCAGGTTTCTAAAGCCAGGACATAATAACAGACATGAACACAACCGTGATCCTGCTAAAAACCTGATCCCAACCCGGATACTAGTGTGCAAGTAAATACTCTCCAGGACATTCCCAGGTTGAGTTCAAGTGAGGACCTTCATTGTTTCTAACTCTTATGCCATGAAGTACAGGAAGTAAACCTGATTTAACAAAGGGTGTGAGATTGTGGTAATGGCAAAAAAATGTGCAACACAATTACTTTGACCCGCAACATGGTTTTGGGCTTCCATGTAGTTCCATGTTGCTTCTGTCTGTGAAAGAATTTGTATCATAATGACTTCCCACTAAGATTGAACTAAGATTGAAATATAAAATCTAAAAATCAAGGCCTGAATTGGTATTTTTTTTCCTGTTAAAACGTCCTCACAGCTGCTCTGGAGGTGTCTTGGCAAAACTTTGGACACATGAATAAGAAAAGCTCACTACCCAACAAGAAAATGGAGACAGGAACATCAAGTACACCCCTAGCAGATGTTACTGTACAGAGCTAAGTAATATGATTCACTTTAATGTGTGGAATAATTCTGAGTAAGCAGACAAGAGCTTTACCACATGATAGATTCACAACTTTGGAATAAGCTCCCACAGCTAACCAGGAAACCAGTCCCATACTGTGAGCCTGGTTTACAGCCCTGTCACCCAAAGGAATCATTAATAAGATCAGGGTTAACACCTTGCTGGGTTATTGAGGGGCTGACATCAAGCCTGCCACGTTTGTTTCCACAGTAAATATGTATCTTTATAGCTTCACACAGAGTTGCAGCTATTAATAAGATAAATATAGAATTCATAGAGCTTGTAAAATTCTCCTGAATAAAACGTTTCTATTTTTTCTATGTTCTATCAAATACATAAAAGTAAGTGTTTTATTGTGGACATTTAAAATGTTATGTATGAAAAGTGTCTGTCATTTGACAACTTTAACAACTGCACACAGCGAATAAAAAAACCAAAAAAAAAACAAAACTGTCACTGTTACAAGCTGCATGTGGTTGCAATTTTTTAGCCATGTTAGCAGCACGGCTCTGTGTGTGTGTGTATCCGTCAGTCAGTCCCCCACATGACAGTGAGCTTAACGTTGCTGATGTCAGCATTTACAGTCACTGAAAGCCCCGTTGTGTTTAAGTGAAGCTCTACAGAGCCTCTAACATGGCTCTAACATGTGTTGTCTTTTTGCCTTAACTGAACTGTTACAATAACAGTTACCTTCCGCCCTTTAATGAACTCCATAGAAATTGTTCCTAGTTTTGTAAACAGTTAAAGATAATATATATTTTATAAAGGTGCTAATTTTTATACTAAAAGTTGTAAAAAAAAAAACATTTTTTTTGCATATTAAGCTACATATAACCACATTTATCACTGATGCAAATAAACTTATTGTAGTATTGTCACTGTATTTATTTTTATATTTTTCCAGCGTGTTTGTGTGTTTGTCTCTGATCACCTGGAGCAGTCGTGCCCGCTCCACCCTGAACTGCAGTGACATCGGTTCGGCCTGATGCATCTGCCTCCATTCTGACAAGGTGATGAACACACAGCTGTGGGGAGACACACACACACACACACACACACACACACACACACACACACACACACACACACACACACACACACACACACACACGTCATCATTACCATAAATGCAAATACTTCCTTATGAGGAAGTAACACTAATAACTTGGAAATCTTGTCATTGTAATGAGGAAATGTGCTGTGTCTTTTATGATCAGGTGGGAAACAACTATTCTACAAACAGTCATACTGCTGTTACTGAACTGTGGGCAATGGAGAAATTATAAAAATATCTATTTTGTCTAAATAATATTTTTTCATTATCAACCATTTAAGACAACATAGATTCCAGACTGATTGACTAATCTTCTATCTGCTAATGCAATGGGAAGGTGGAAAAGGTCCACTTTATTTAATTATAAATGTTAGTTTTTTTAAGTTCTGCTGATTCCCAGTATAAATAAAACTGTCCAACATACAATTGAAGTTACTGAGATAGCTTATAAGCATAGTTGACTTGAACCATAAAGGAAAGTATATCAATTTTAGTAAGAATATTATAGAAGACATCATCTTATATGTCAGTCATCAGTCAGCGGCAGGTAGGTCATAAATAAGTTATACGCTATTAATTAATAATAAATAAATAAATAAATAATCAAATACATTAATTGAAGGAAAAAAGCTGTGGCATCACCGCCCTCCTGAGTCAGTGCCATGAGGGTTATTATGATGCTGACGTGCAGGGAATCCTGTTACGTGAGGCCTCACTCTCTACATGCACTCCCATCATACGTCACTGAGCTATCAATGCACACAGTAGGTGTACAGGTTTACTCACATATGTACCAGCATAAACATGTGAAAGCATCACTGACTCACACATGAACTCACCACTGTGACAGCGTGTGCCCGTCCACCCGGTGGGACACTCGCACTGGTAGGGTGCCACGCAACGGCCTCCATTCAGGCACGGCAGGATGCAGATAGCTGTTATTAAAGAAGAGACGGGAGAGATGAGTGGAAACAGGAAGGGATTTAAGGTCATCAATCCCACCTCTCTCTGTTGGTATCCTAAACAGTTGATCCCAGTGTTGACATTTGAAACCATTTGTGACTGCAGGCTTGAGTTATGCATGTTATTGTCCTGATGAAGAAAGAGAAGAGCCTCTCCACTGCTTGTATTTTAACAGCCAAGCCCAAGTTGTTTTTTTTTGCAAATGTAAATGTAAAGAACAATAATGTACAGTAGAGAAATAAATGACTAATTGTTATTAACTGTTTAGTGTATAAAATATCAGAGAACTATATAAAAAATGTTCATTGTAATTTCCCAGAGCCCAACGTCGCCTTACACATGACGCCTTAAAACTGCTTATTTATTCAATTAACAATAATATAAAACACAGGAAAGCAGCAAAACTTCACCACAATAATGTGTAAAAGTTTTATGCCACTTTAAAAATAAATGTTTATCACTTCAAGTGTTTTATTAAAATATATTTAACACTGTTGACTTGGGCCCCACTGCAGTAGGTTTAACTCATGCTAGCAGCTGTGTGAGGCTGTGCTCAGGCACAGCTGTGCTTAGAGCTAAATGCTAATGTCAGCATGCTAACATATTCACAATGACAATGCTGACATGCTGATGTTAAGCAGGTAGAATGTTTACATTGTTCACTATATTAGTTTAGTATGTTAGCATTGCTAACATTCAATGATAAGCTTTAAACTCAAAGTGCAGCTAAGGCTGATGGGAATGTCATTAGTTTTGTAAATATTTAGTCAAAAACCAAAGTACTGGAATAGTTGATGTCTGCACATTTCATGACAATACATCTAATAGGTGGTGAGATATTTCTGGACCAAAGTGGTGTACTGACCAATAGCACCATCCCTATAGCTGTGCTGCTAGCATAAATAAAAACCTTTGACTTATATTTACAGATGCTTCAGTAAGTAGTCAGACCCCTTCACTTGTTGCACACTTTACTGTGTTGTGGATTTAATTCTAAATGGATAAAATTGCCAATCAATGTACACTCAATAACCAATAATAACAAAGAGAAAACATGTTTTGAGAACTTCTCAAATGTGTTAAAAATCTAAAACTGAAATCTCACATTTATGATAATATTAATTTACAATTAAATCTACAACACAATAAAGTCTGCAACAAGTGAAGGGGTCTGACTACTTACTGAAGCCACAGTAGGTGTTGACCTTTGTAAATTAATCTATTTAAAGGCCTTTCAATCAATTTGAGAGCAACAGCAGGTTCCATTCTTGTGTGATATTTGGTTGTTATTGAGTTATTGCTCCTTTAACTTACGTGATGACTAAACACAAAACAAATACCTGAAACTCTTTGTGCACCATTGTCTGCTAAAATCTGTTTCACAAGCTGGCTGGATTGCTGAATTAATGAGTGTTTGAGTTTGTGTTGTAAAACACTTGGGGTCATGTTGTTGGTATTAACTGTGTGTCCACAGAGTTTACTGAACAATATATCATGATTAAATACTTACGCTCCTCACACAGTCGGCCCATCCAGCCCTCGGGGCAGGAGCAAGTGTTGGGCCGCTGACACACACCTCCGTTCTGACACTGCAGCCAACACACAGCTAAGGGAAATGTACGCACGCACACATAGACACACACACACACGCACGCACACAGACAACAACATATCAGAGATTAAGATAAGAGGAATCCTGCTTGAAACACACACGTG